TGATACTGGGGACGGATGCAGCCACTATTGTGGGTGGGAATTTTGGAAGGTAGGATGCATAAGTTTATTTCATGTATATCTGTAAGTAACGAGAGACCATTGCAGACTGTTTGTCTGGAATTTTCGGTCGCTCTTATTAATGAGAAATATTTTAAATAAAATCATAAATCATAAAACGATTAGCAAATGACATCATAAATTAATATAATACCCAAACAATGTTATGGAACCAAATTTCTTGAGACAATATTTTGAATTATGTAATTTTAACACTGAAAATTCTTGTGGTATGATGTATGAAACATAGACGTAAAATTAACAAAATTTCCTGAAAATGCAAAATAAATGTTTCTCTTTTGAAGTACGTGTAAAATAGTACCTAAGATTATGATAGACGCAGCGAATTATGTGCATTTGAAATGCATTGTCCTACACCCATATAGAGCAGCCGAACCAAAGTACTCTATGCGTTGAAATCCGGACCCTGTAGTAATAATAATAATAATAATTAAGATATTTACATATTATAATGTTATTTTATAACACTGCCGAAGAAAATATTTAATTTTAACAACGCGAAGGAATTTATTTAATATTACCGAACCGTCTACAATATATATATAAATATTTGATTTCAACCGTGTGGTATGCAATACGCGAAGAGGTGACTGTGATGATATATATATATATATATATACATAATACATATATATATATATATTTTTCATATTCTGCAAAATGATTGCTTATTTTCTTATTTATTTTCGACGCGTTGGAATTTTTTATCAAAATTATCTAGTATGAAATTCACCCGAGCGTAAAAATTTGTTCGTACACCATAAACTCATTGAATTAGGCTATATATATAGATATATTTTTAAAGTAAATAAAAACCATTATTAAAGCTTATATTGTATTTGAACGGTTTTTTCATTATTAATCTAATAGTTTTATATTTAATTTTTAGTGAGATTATAAAGCTAAAAAAAAAAAAAATGTTAATAATTAAATATTTTGATAAGAAACTGTTAGTAAAATATCAACGATCAAAATGTTGTAGCTATCGAACAAGGTTAAACTCAGAATCTAAAAAACTAATTGAGTAAACTCAGACGTGTTAGATTGGGTATACCTATGGTTATATCTCATAAAATAACCATTGCTTCAGTTTTGTTTTCATACCAATAGATAGATAATATAATCTAGTTATTTTACATAAGGTATATAGTGTCCTAAACATAGCAAATTCCTCCAAGATAACTGTGATTATGATATAAACAAAAATCACCACGTGTTTTTAAAAAGACAGAACATTTGCTCAATATTCCTGTTAGAGCTGAACAATTATTATCAGTGATGTTCTCATCAATTTATTTGAGAGCATACTCTAATATAAATCTTTATTATATCCTGTGCCTGGCATAAGATATTTTATAATTTTCTCATGGTTTATTGATACCTTCTGTTAATAAGGAAGTAGATATCAATGATACACAAGTTAAATTGAAATTATTAAAACAAAACATTCACAATTTTAAAATAAAATCCGTGTAAATCTGAATTTGTAAGAAAATTGTGAATTTTTTTATTATAATTACTGAAATAAATACATTGTATTACTATTATTGTTTTAGTGACATAGGTAATTGATATGAACAGACGATGATAGAATTGTATCTTTGTGGTATACCCTATGGAAATCCCACTGATTATTATATTGGTTTTGAGTGCTAGTTTTGATAGAGATATTTTATAGTCAATACTTCCATTTTTACATTTTAAAAACAATTGATATTTTCAGCTATGAAATAATATCCTCTTATATTTGTAAAACGGTCATATTCAAATCGCAATGAATAATACAAATTAACATCTAATTTAACAACTTTGGCTGAAAACAAAATATTTGTTAACATTTACAAATTACAATTGTATTATATAATTGATATATTTTATGATAATATTATTTACATTTCAAAACGTAAAATCCTATTATAAATGTAAGATAATTATAATTATACAAAGTTTTTATAAGACTTGCAATATTTATGCAATATTATATTAAATTAACATTCAAATTTATAATTTGTTGAATAATTTCCATTTTTAGATTCCGAGCATAGCGAGGGAGCTATTGGTTTTACAATGCTGTTTATCTTTTCTCCTTTGTTCTTTGTTCTAATCTGTGGACACGTTTTTTCCTGGTAAACTTGCTCCGGATATATAAATGTAGCAAATTTTACGAAAGCTCAAGTTGTCTAGATTGTATATTAAAAACTAAATTTTTTGATTTTTGACACTATTTTTGTAAATAAAAGTACTTAAGTGGGAAAACATTCATTATATTATAAAAACATGGACGCCGTTTTCAACCAGAAAACACAATTTAATCGAAAAGTCATAAAATATCTTTTTTGTCACATTTTTGATTTAATTTATTTCCTTTGTTATCATTGCCAGAACTTTTGAGACACTTATGAGTTTTAAACGAATTTTAATTTTTGAAAGTTTTTTCTATAATTCAATTTTAAATACACTTAGAGATATGAAACTTGATATTAATACTAATATTATTGGACTTACCTAGAATTGGTAAAATGATAGCTCACTGATTTTTCTGGCTGTATCGCCAAATATGTGAAAATAACAATACCTATGGTAATCATTTAAAAAAAAAAAATTGAATTTCCCCAAATATTTTGTGAAATGTCGAAAAAAATGTATTCTTGTGAAAAAATGTTTAGTAATTTATATTGAGAAATGTGGGGATAAGACCTCCCGTGGCTTTAAAACATTTTTTGGAGGAGGGGGAAATATTTTTAGTATTATTTACATGGTTTTATTGAGACAGTTAATTTACATTTTTTGTCCTTTGATAAGCATTTAAATGGGAAAGTAATTTGTCCGAAATATTATAAAAAAATTATTTTTGACCTCGTTGATTAGTTTTTTTCACCATATTGGAAAATTGTTGATTTTCTAATATTTATTGACATTTTCACTATTTCAATTTCTTTTACATAATTTGTATACACCTGAGTATCCACATTAAATATGAGTTTATAGTAGTGGCATATTTATTGTTGGGGGGGGGAGGAGGCAAATACAGTGGTGACTTTTTTAATAATATTTTAATGTCTAAATAATATGATTTATCGCAAATCAGAAAATAATAAAAATTATTTTTAGTATATTTCTTATACTGTATAATTGCACTAAACTTTTAGCTTAATAGTTTACACAATTTTTTTTTAAAATTTTTATTTATGAAAAAAAAAGAGTATTTTTTTAGATCCTATTTTGAAATAAAATACATTCATAATATATCAAAATAATTTTATTTATAAATGTATAGAGATAACAATATTCTTGTTTTTAAAATTATGATTGAAATTTGGTATTGAAAATTAAAAACATCAGTGAGCACATAGATCTGTCACTAAATAGTCGAATTTTTTCTCAATCGACTTGTTGCTGTTTCGATATTTTATTATTATTACGAGTACTGATATTATTATTATTTATAATTATTGTACTACTCGTAAAATACTTCTTGATTTTCGAGTTTTTCACTGGTGTTCATAATATTAAATTAATATATACAGGATTATTTACTAAACTAAAAAACTCATTATCTCGAAAAGTATAAACTTTTTTCGGAATTTGTTTTATAGAATATTTAGGATGCAAGCAGCTCTACGATTTGACAAATATATTATTTTTTTTCACGTTTATTTTGGGGAGTGAAACGACTATCTACTTCTCAAATAGCAACCTATACAGTGCTTGGTTTCGAAAAAAAAAGTAGTAGAGGTACTTAAGCTATTTTAAAAATGTAGCATCTCTAGGATTTTGGTTTCACTGCATTGTATTTGTATTTACTAGACACCCATTACCTTTTCTAATCATCCTTTTTCCTTTTTTACTGTCTACTCCTTCTTTTCTATTTTTCAGGTATCCTATAACTTTCCGGTGTATAGAATTTAACAAAACAATTTGTATTAAAATAGTAAAGTTGTACTCGAGATTTGTACTAATCACTGATTATTGATGTGTAAAGAATTCACATAATTATGATGTAAAGGGGTTGAGGGGCTTATACTTATACCAAAAATATTTTGCACCTAGTGAGTTAATTCTCTACGGGCGTCCCTGAATCATTTAACATGATATTGCATATGTGTCAATACTAAATTCACTGACTCTACAGTACGTCCTGTTTATGAATTTGCAGGGACGGTTCCCACGGGATCCTGTCAATTTCGAATATATTTTCTATTCCCTTTTCATTGTAAGATTTTCGGTCGGTCTCCGGTGTGCAATATTCGTGTTGATGATGACGAACTACATAAAGGGCGGGTGGAGTACCGAGTACCTTGAGAAACGATATAGCAGCAATATGTAGTAGTTCGTGTGAGACTTTTTGATATAAGTTCTCGAATGATGACGGTGGCCGGAAGGGATGAGATAAAAATAATAAACATTATTTTGAGATTAAGCTTCAAAGATCCTCACAATTGGGTGCGCGCTTGTCCACTTCTCGTACTACGATAGAATAAAATATTATACAATTATGTGGTTGTTTAGGAAACCATAAGGCAAAAATTAATAAAATATTTTTGATTATATAGACACCAAGTAGTATTTCATTTGTATTAAAATTGCTGGCATACTATGTTAGTTCTACCATATCATTACCATTTCTTCTTACTGTGATGTTTGGTAACGATTCCGCTCATCTGCTGATGCCCCAAAAAAAAATTGCACCTATTACTCTCTATGCTGCATGTCAAGCTATTTAAAAACCAATCTGACGCTAGAGTCTTTGTCGTACCGTTAATCGGCTGGCCCGTTTACCAGCTACCCGTTTTTGGAAATATGTATCCTACTACTGTACAATGTGTTCGTTTATTAAACCTGTCCTAATTTATATGTAAGTCTTTACGTATATTTCCACATGTATTTTTCATTTAACAATGTCTATAAAAACTTGTGTTTGTATTAATAATAATATCCCTTTTTCTATACGCGTATACATTTTTTTAAAATAATGAACCACTTCACGTGAACTGAAAAACATTAACGTAAAACATTATACTTGTTTTAACATTTTGAAATGTACACAATCTCATAATATTGTGAACACATACTCTTAAGTCCGTTGTTTGCTATATTGTAAATCACACGCATTTCAAATTCCGGATATCCTGGTCCCCGCACAATTTAATATTGTGAATCATATAGTATAGAACCGAATCTACATTATAATAAATAATAAAACTTTTGCCACTATAAACATTGCATTATTTATGAATCTCTTGTGATAAATACTTTATTATTAATTTAACAAGAGCTGTGTTTAATTTTCGTGAACGGCCATAAATTCCGTGGAATATTGCAATAAAATTGCAATGATTGTGTATTTTTTTTTTAAAATTAAATCCAAAAACCTAGACTGGGTTGTGTTTTCTCCGATTCCTGTATTCAAACGCTTTTAAAAATGTACCAAAAAGATAAAAAAAAAAAAAAAAAAAAAAAAAACAAGATTTTCCATAAGAGATTACCATGTTTATCATTTATTTAACAGAATTATTTTAACCGCGCTCTTTATACGAAACAGTGGATTTTGCTGAATATGTACAATGTATGAACTTCCTATATTACCATACATCACTATTCGTTTGCTCTTGTTTAAACATATATATATAAAAAAAACTATCCTTTTGTTGTGAAACACCGTAGGTATTGGTATCAAAACAAAAAACCATGTTCATAAATTTCACGAAAATACGACTTCCACCATTCTATTTTCGGCAAACATGTCAAACCTAGCACGGCATTAAAATATCAACCGCGTAAAAATTCTTTAAGTGAAAGTTAGTACAATAATATTGCATCTATACGATCGGCTATTTTTTTAATATTTTTTTTTGAAGCTGGCATGCTTTTTTGTAATTTTTTGGACAGTGTCCAATTATCGAAAAAAGGGTATTATACTGTCATGGCGCCAGCAATTGTAGTTAAAAAAAATAAAAACCAAATCGCAATGTACACGCAAATTCAACACGTCAACAACGTCCGCCCAGAAATCGAGTCGGTTTCGTATTATAATCGAGTGGGAAATAATAGATTGCAAAACTCTTAAACTGGAAATAATACTTATTGTAATGGAATAAAATATAATGGAATTCACATAAATACTAATTTTATTGAAAATAAACGTAAAGAAAAAAAATCAACCAAAAAATATCTGGGAGTTTAAATAAATTCATCTGATAAAAATCGCAAGTCCGTAACTCGTTAACTCGTAATACAACCAATAAGCTGACCAATGATTCTATTGCTCCCAAAACAGTACCCAGCTATTTGAATCCATACTACATTTGGTTTAGAAGTCTTTACTAATACAATTTATATTATGTCATGTAACATCTCATTACATTCTATGCACGCGAAATATAATATACCACGAAAAAGATAAACAAAATCGTTTAACATTCAAGAGAAACGCCATGAGTCGAATTTTTGGGCCAAGAGATTAGAGCATTGAAGTATATAGATTTAGAAAAGGATTTATATAGTACACGACACGTGTTGTGGATGCGAAAACCAACGATCCAAAAAGTAGTAAAATGAATTCCGAATAGTTATAAGTCATTAGGACGCCCATAGACAGAAACGGACAGCGAGTGCATACGGATTCAAACAATGGCATAGAAATGCGGAGAATGGCCGATAATATATCAAAATTTCTGTTATGAAAATTATTTTCCGAGATTTTCTTTACGAAAAAATGTTCGTTCCAGAATTGTTTCCTTAATATATTTTAGGAACACTGTCCAATTTATCGGTGTTTCTCTGCTTAACGCGGTTTCTGGCCCGTTTCCCTAGGGCTTGAAATTAATTGGTATGCCGGGGTATATACAATATTAGGTAATGACATTGAGAAACGATACGGTTAAGATGATAGGGTGGTGCACTATCGCCACTCCGATTTAAATCACCGGACGACGGCGGTGACCGATGAAACGCGAACAAAATGAATAATCATAATTGCCTCGTGTCTATATGCGTTATCGACGAAATTCAAACGCCACTAGGTTTTTCAAAAACAACCATTTCGCCATTAGGCTGTAAAGTTCCGTCAAATAGAATAATAATAACCACTCAAGTGCAGTGTTTATTTTCACAACACAACAAACTTTTTTTATAGCTTCGTTGGGAAATATACGATTTCATCGGATCCTATACATTTTAAAATATTAAGTAAATATTTTATCATTACAGATTAACGTATTTTACGAAAATAATATTTACCTACATTTATTAAAAAATAAATTACTACGCTTTCAATGTAAGTATATATATATATATATAAAAAGAATAAACAAAAGAAAGAAGAAAAAATATATTCAAGCGTCTATAATTATATTATTTTATTATTTATTGTTATGATGTTGTTACGAAAATGAGATAAAACGTTCAGAAAATTAGACAAATTATTTAAATAAAGTTTATGACCTAAAAAAAAATATCACTTAACATTTTTTTCAATTATTTATGCTAATATTAATATAGATACCACGACTTTAGCATTTTCTATTTCATAATAGAGTAAAGTGTAAAATTAAATATTATACCAACCAACAGCTTTCTTGGGTGTTGTTACATTAATTCAAGTTTGAGATTTTAGCATTCAATTTCTATTTAGAAAATTGTTTCGATAAAATACGTAAAAGGTACAGGGAAAAAACCATAGAAGTCACCTTTTTTTCAAACTGAGAAAAACGTGTTTTTAATTTAAAAACGTAACAATTTTCTTTTACAAGGTAAAAAGTTTGGATTAAGTTTAATGTTAAACTTTGAAATGCGGTAACCACAATATAATAATGTGATATAATTATACTACTAACCAAGGCTATAGTTGTGTATTAGCCCAACATTCACCTGGTTATAAATTCACTAACTGTGCTCATTTCATTTTTCCGGTTAAATTTTGTATATATTCAAATTCTGGTTTTTGGAATTTTTAAGTGTAGTTAAAGCCAATATTTTCGAATACTTAGATATATAAAAATGAATGTAAATGAATTCCTAACAAAATATCATGGTAAAATGAATGTTAAACAGGAATGAAAACTAAATCGTTTTGAAATGAAGTTTTTATTCTCATTTAGTATTATTCTCGAAATTTCCTCACACACATTTAGGACTCGACTTTAGTTATCAGTATTTGTACCGCGCAACTGCATGTGATGTAGCTACCGTCGTTTCCAAGTCCATTATATTTTTGTATATTTTTTTTCTATCAGAAAACTTGAAATAATCTAAAAATTAAAAGGAAGATTTGTTTGTAACATTTAGATCTAGTTGGTTCATTGAATAGATTTTTATTTTCAATTTTTATTCAATTTTCATAATATTCAAGGAGAAAATGAATAAGTTTAATAATTTACAACATTGCAGCAATAAGTTGTATTATTTTCGATTTAATTTTTCTGCTAGAAATCTTGCTCTTAAGTTCATTTTTTTCTGAAAGACAATTTTGTCTGGTTAGTCATCAGACATTCATATTGTTATCAGTAATTTTTTTCCACCACTTCCACCGCTATGCAGTTGAGTTATCAATTTTCATTACGCATCTTTTCAAACAAAAGAAAATGTTCCATGAGTAAATGAAGATTAAATGATGAATTATACAGTTTTTTTTTTATTTGTACAGACTAAAAACTACAGAAATATTTTTTATTTTGAAATATACGTGTTGTGTAAAATTTGTTAACTTTTTAACGAACGCGTTATCTAAATTATGCATATTATGCAAATTTATGTATATTTTTCTTTTTTAATTCGTTTTACAGGCCCTTCCTTCACCTCTTCCGCTAAATTCCTCCACCTGATACTATTTATTTCATTATTTAGTTTCGCTATCCTCTTTACTTTAACCACCGTTTCCAGGTTCTTCCGCTGGAGTGTTGATTGGTTCGTTTGTTGGCCAGTAAATTTTGAATTTCATAATAATATTTAATTCTTTCGGCTCACCGTTCATAACTAACTCATTGTGTCACTTCTCCGATCCATTTCTGTTTACAGGAATTAATCCAAATCATTTTATTTGTCTCGGAGCTCTTTTGGAGACATCTGACCAAATTGTTAACCAGATTACTATTCATTACTGTTATGAATCCGGAGTTTATAAAAATAGCTACTATAAGTAAATTATTATTTGTATTATTTATAAACTAGCACTCTGTTATTATTTCATTTAGATCGAAATTTGTCAGCATAGTTTTTAAAAATTTTTTTTCTAACAATTAATTAGAAAATGAAGTTTTCAAACGTGTGAGCTTCATAACTTAGATGTTGTTTGATGTATATTTCTCTCGTTGCATGTTGAAGTTTTTGAACACTTGTTCTTTTACTGTTGCTATAGCTAATATCATGCGCATCAGAATTATACTTAAAACACCGTTAAACTTTTTTTTGTTAGTTTATTCCATACACTTTTGCATAGATTTTTATTACTAGCCTAGTTTTGAATTGGTTGACTTTTCTAAATTCATTAGTTTTACAGTTATAATAGTAAATAGTATAGTTCATACAAATAAACATTAAATGCAATAATTGTGTGCATGCATTTTCATTATTTTATAATCGAGTGGTAGGTCTAAAGAAATATCGATTTAGTGTTATCTAATCTGAAACCCGTCGAAACTTTTTTCATTTAAATACGATATTCGAAATCGTAAATGGTTATAGCTTGCAATTTTTGTTCGTTTTAGCCAAAAAGGCATTTTCGGTCTATAGAGATGTTCAAGTTGAATAATTTCTCTCGTGACGTTTTGACCATAGATACGTTTCTGACATTCCGACATTGCGATACTGATCCTTTTTTGTAACTGCGGATAACCGAAATGTCCAGTATTTTATAAAACGAGCACACAAAAGAACGGCCAGCACGACAATGACAACGGCGCCAAAATTATAAATATAGAAGAATATATATATCTACACAGGGTTTTCAGAATTTCGTGTTACAATTAAATTTAACATAGAGTAATTATTTTTTTTAATTAATTTTGTAAACTGTATATATATCCTAAAATATTACGTTATCATTATTTTTTTATTCTTTAATTTTGGGTGTGAAACCACTACGCATTTTTGATTTTCAAATAACGACCTGGACTAAAAAAATCCATAAAATAAAGTTTTTTTTGAACACATTTTTTTACTGACATTTTTAATTTTCGTAAACTCATTGATAAGATATTCTAATTTTAAGTTTGGATAGAAAGGAGTGTTATGAAGCACTATTCAAACGCCGAATGCTTTGCTGCCATACAAATGATATTTCATGATGGTTTATATAATTTTTAATATAGCTGTTACTGTTTGAAAATCAAGTTTATTGAGTAGTGGTTTCATTCCTAAAAATAAGGGTGAATAAAATATAGACAGGGTAACATTTTAGAACATATGATTCTATAAAGTCATTTTTTGCAAAAATAAGTATTTCCTAGAAAATTTGACCGGTATATAACCGTAATACCTACATATAGTAAACTCGTCAAAGATGCAGTATAATAGGAAAGGACGGTCGATAAATAACCCATTCGAAAACTGGTGTGAATGGAGATTTCCATGCGTGGATTTCCGACCGAACAAAACATTGCTTTCGGCACGTGCCCACCCCCGCCATAGTTTTGAAGTGGTCTCACGGAAACGACACGTTCGCGTTAACAATGTGTTCAGACGACGTCGACGGAACATGATATAACATAAAAACATATATTTTAATATAATATACTTACACACAATATATATGTTATAAAAAAAAAAGTTGACTTTTATGTATATTATTATTATGAACAATAGTTACAATTATTATTGTATAAAAAATTGTACGTACTTTTTGAAGAAAATTTGTTAATAAATGATATGATTATGGTTTTACTAAGAAGGGTTGAAATACAGTGAAATAAGACGTTTGCTATACATTAATTATTTCGTATTGAATTCTAGTTTGTTTCGGTTTCGTCGGTTATTTTGAGCACGGGAAATGAAATCAAATTAATCCCCTTAAATTTGTTTCTACTATATAGAATCTAAAAATACTAATCTTAATAACAGCTGGTTTTGTTCTTGACGGTATTTTACTTTGATCACTGAATAAGGAATCGCAATTCTGATATTTTTTATTACATCTTCATTTACAGATTCTTTGTCGTTATCTTTGTTATTTACTATAATGGACTTCAAGTAATACTAGTAAATACTAGTAAATACTAACATAATAAGCATTTTTTCTTCCAGCTGCATCAGATTTCAAAACCTTATATCTCTAAGGGTTTTCAATTATATTCAATTTCGGGAACTGTACCGCAAAAGACTAGTTTAGTCAAAATACACATACACTCGCTGATAGTTTCCTTGTAAAATTATCATGTATTTTTAAAATTTAAGTAATTTAAGTGATATACATTTTCTTCACGTATATTGCAGTGTTTTTTCTAACTTCTTGAGCAATACTAGCAATTCTGTCAGCTTAAGCTTAGAGAAATACTTACCAATGTAATAAACTTTTGCTTTATTTGAACCACATAGCTGGATATTCATATTTCTGTTGTTTTAATTTTCTACATTTATTTGTGTGATAATGAGTGATACTTTTTTTTTACTAATTAGTAAAATTTTGAATCTTCAGATGGTAGTTAATTCACATGAAAAAACTTTATTATTTATGTGCTCACGTTCGTTGGTAACAACAAAATTTTGAAGTTCATTAAACTTCGAGTTATCTTCTATTTTTCCTCCAAATTATCCTGTTAATTTTAAACAAAGATGTTATAATAGCATTTACGTGAATTGTGCAATGTAGTGGAACGACGACTTATTTCAACTAAAGTTTACCTACTTTTATCGATGTCATCGATTCATGATTGTTTGATTTTACGTCTGGTTTTACACTTATAATTAATAATACCTTTTTTTTTTTTTTTAACGAACCAATATAGTTATTACAGTTAATGTAATGATGTGGACCAATACATTTGTTACAAGTTATTCATTTGTGGCTGTGCACCAATATGTTGATGAATCTTTTGATTAGTTTTAAGTTGTTGGTTCGCAGAATCCGTTGTTTGTTTACATACGTATTAATGTTCTTCTATATTTTCATATTAGACTATACATCCTCTACCAGAATTTGATTCTGTCCTTTCTTGTATTGCCCCGCAAAAGAATTGGGCTGCTAGAGATATAAAAATGTGTGTCATACATAATTAAATCCTGTTTAATGGCAACGAATTCTCATCTCTAAATATCTATCATCATGTATTTATATGATTCTTAGCAAAAATGTTTTCTGTAACACTTTTCTCTGAGTTAATATAATTTTCGAGCTTGTTTGAATCCAAAGTTTGTCCGGTCCATTGTCCATTTGTGTAGTGGGTATAATGTATATGCACGTATACTATTATCATTGAATATCATTGGATATCTGTATATTATGAAGTGAATACTTCATTATTACTTTGATTTCTAGCTTAGCAGTTCATGAATCGTTGTTAAATTTGTGTTAGGTGTTACCATTTGTAATAGATATTTTGTATTTATCAACATATGCATACATTACATACATTGTATTGATTTATTTGTGATTTTTTCATAGTATATACATTTTCGTATCTTTTTGGCGTCTATTCTATAACAGCAGTAACCTACTTTTTATGAACATAAATATGATTTAAAGTATAATGTTGGTTTTAGAAATCCTTATGTGCCATCATTTGTATTAATTTTTTTGAAAAACTGTTAAAAGTGAGTTGAGAAAAATGGTCCAATAACAATACTACTGAACGGAAAAAAAATGTCTTTCTGTGTGAACGTTTTGGTAAATTTTTACTGACCTAAATAGTAGTCGAGAATGAAAAAAAGAAAACTTAAACATATCTAAGTAAAACTAATAGCTGTTCATCTCTCTACATTCAGAATCCGAAAAAAACAATCCCTCGAGTATTACTAATTGTATAATTTTAAGCCCTTCTGTTAAATTAAAAAAAAAATAAATTAATTCAAGGAGACGCTTAAAAATAAAAAAATATTTTTGCGCTTATATATTTTTGAAATATTTCTGCCTAATGAAAATGTATAATGTTTCTTATATATATAATATCATTATTACACTAATAATACATGAGGGATACGTGAACGATACATTATGCGACAGGAGGAAAGTCATGTAAAAAACAATGAGCTTTGATGTTTTTAAGTTTTTTTAATTTAGTAAAATAATTCATTTCTATTACACTAATTGTAATATAAAACAATTATTATAGTGTATAGTTTACAGTGGGATAGTTTTTGAAAATGTCAAGAATATTAAAAAAAAAATAAAAAGCTAATACTGTATGTTTGCCATTGTTGTAGCTGGGAAGTTGGGAAGATAAGATACCAGAAGTATTTTAATGTACGCAAAAATAAATATTATGTATTGGGACTTACGAAAAAGAAAGTATATCCCAACAACAGATTTTCGATATTTTTCAAGTATATAAAAGTAGTTTGGGGACTCTCGTGTACAACATTTTTGAATATTCTTCACGTAAAAATTTAAAAATTGTTCCCCACCAAAAGAAAAACCGAACATCTGAAAAAATGATAACTACAAATAACTCAACAAAAAAAAAAAAAAAATAATAAAATAAAAAATAGTGCCACAAAGACTATACGGTTAATAATATTATTATTCGATTGATAAAAATAAACGGACATCGGACAAGAGGACAAGGCCGTGGAGTAGAATTATTAATATCGTAACGGTCTTCCTAAAATAAAACGAGATAAGATTAAAAGAAAAACAAATTAAATGAAATATATTATAAAAATACTACATCGGCGTGTGTAGCGAATAAGAATATTGAGTTAAATTTACGACGTCGTCGGGTTCTGGTATAGTAAATTTTTGGACGACGTGACCTATATATTTGGCGAACCCCTCCGCGCGTCATACCGTTCTGTACGCGAATGACATTGAAATTTTTCAAACGATAAAAACACATTTTGATTTTTTTTTTTTTATTAATTGGAACATTCGTTTCACTTTCGAACGCCGTTCAACGTTTATTATTCGGCAAATTAATATCGTTACCTATTCGTACACAAACTCACACGCACACGAAAAAAAAGCAAATCTAATAATACCATACCTTCTACACAGAGTTAACGAAGTCGAGTGCCGTGTCAAGGTGCTCGAAGTCAAGACGACAAACTGTTATAATATGCTACGACAGTACAGAAAGAACGTGCGGTTGATTTAAACTATTCGTTGAATTAGATCGCATACTTCACGGGTTGATAATAAAAGTTCCCTCGTTGTATTATGGCTTCACAATATTCACGGATGTAGACTCGGCTATCTATTTGTTATAATATGATGACTGATGCGATCGACGTTCGATCATCGCGTTGGGCCGATATTTTATTGTCGTCCTAACTATTTTAACGATGCGTCTCCGTTTATACGAATTTATACAAGCTTATAGAATATTATTGCGATAGCTATTAACTGCAATAACGCGTAAATCGACGATTTTATTAATGTATTTTTTTAATTGCAACGAAAAACGCGTGTGGAGACAATATGTCATACAAAACAACATTAATATTTTTTACCATGGACTTTTCTACCTCTATTTTCGAAAAAAAAAAAATACCGCTTTTCTCTATTGTGTCAGGTAAAAACGCATTGTAAGTCAATTACAATAATACAGAATGTCACAAATTACTATTTTTTTTTTTTTTTAAGTTAGAATAATTTAACTTTTTAACCTCGTTATTACGTAGTTTTTGAGTGTTGAAATGATGCTGACAAAAAACTGGTGTCTACATTAATTGAATTATTATTATTATTATTTATCGAATTATATATAGAAGAGATGATTTTTAAACGATTTTTGTTAAAATTTAAACTTTAAATGATCTGATCACTCAAATAAATTATTGTGATATACATGTTCTATATTAGATTCTGAGCGGAGTAAGGAATGTATTAATTTTACAGTAATGTTTATTATTTTTAGTCATTAAGGAAATATGACTGGAGTGGTACTTTACAGAGATCATTTTTTGATTTTTCCAGTTGTTTTTATAATAAATGGAAAAACCGGGAAAATGTACTAAATTTATTAAATTAAAATCGAAAATATTACACATTTTCAAAACAATGTATGACCGAACTCCACTCAGATCATATTTCGTTAACAATGGTTAATCGTTGCGTACAAACATACATTCAATTCCCATATATATATATTATCTTCCCAACTTCTATTAACTTCTTATAACAGTGGCCCACGCATAGAGCGAAGTATGTCAAGACTTTTTTTTAAATTATTCTTTACAAACAATTAATAAGGAACTTTGTTTCAAAAATACAACAAAAATTTCTCAAATCAGAATCAAATAGCCATAAAAAATCAAGCACGCGTCAAGTGAATTTTTATCAGCAATAACTAATATAACAGTATGAAAATAAAATTAGTTTTCGATATGACGCGATGGGAACGGTGACTGAGAGTTCGAATTATAACAAGAATCTCGTAAATGGTCGTGGGTGATGGAAAAAATCTTAATATTGGACTGAAAAATTTAAGTTATACATCCGCGGGAAAACCTATATACCTATCGCTCGTTCAGTTCGGCACGTATAAGTATTTCGAAAATCAGGCCAAGTCAATATTAAAACGTAGTCGAGAGCAACCCTAAATGGACAGCATAATTTAAGTAAATTATATATAAACCGACTTTTGCACTCTTTTACCCCCGTCTATTGCATTTTAGTGCGATTAATCATTTTCTCCCCATATCCCGTTTAATCCCTTCAGCTCTCCTGTACATATTTTTACGCAAGGGAGTAACGGTGCATATTTTAAAATAAAGGGTTCACAAGCCCCAGAATTACTGGACGTAGTGGTAAACGATATTATACAGGACGATTATTTTATCTCACAAGCTATACGATAATCTTCACGAAGTTATTTTAGTAAATTTGATTCTGGTTTACTTTTCAGACAAACTAGTTTACGATTAAAATCTTTGCATATTACTGAGATTAAATATTAAACGATTCGGTAGTGATTAGGAAAAGAAAACCAAAATAAACGTTATTCAGAATCTTCGTTTATAATAATCGTAGATTTATATTAATATGCGATCAAAGAATCATACTGTATAGACGCAGCAGTGTTTTAACAGCGCAGAAAAGTATCCATAGTATTTATCGTTTTGCCGTTATTGTCCTTGGGTCTTCTCCTTTTGCAATTTTTATCCATGCCGATTATACCATCATATAATAACTTATAACTTAGTATAATAACTTTTATAAAATATTCTCGTAGGACCATTATCGTAGAACTAGATAAACTTTTTAAAAACTTCATCCTTACATTTCCATCATCGACCGTTTCTCTTATGGAAAGTCGTAATGTTATACGATTGCTTACATTTTTTTTTTTTAATACGCAGTTATTTTCTCAAATTATTATACTTTTGAATAGAAACTATAATTTAATACGTATAGTCCATAGTGTTGTATTTTTTTTTTTTTGTGTAGTAAAACTCGACTTTTTGAGACGGTAAACATTCTCAGAAAAGTTTCACTAGATAACTATATAAAAGAGTAATTGAATAAGAACGATACTTCGGAGAGATTATTTTTCAAATTTTACAGTTTATTGCCCAAAAATTATAAAATAAAATAACTTTGGAAAAAGTTACTAGTTATTTTAGTAGTTTGTATCAAGTGTGTTTATAATAATATTGTCATTTAAACTTTAAATTCCGCTGTGGAGATTTTTGATTCCGACGATATAATTATCACATTCGAATATCTCAACAATATCATACGTGCCAATTACATTATTCCATAACCAATTATAAACGAAAAAAAAAAAAATTCTAACGGCAACTAGTCGGCTGAAAGAAAATTCGATTCCATTGATTCCACGGATCTCTGTTACTTAGTGCTTACGAGCGTTTTATTTTTTTTTTTTTTTTTTTTTGTTTTTACTTTTTTCGCATTATTAAAAAGCAACAGCACTCTGTTTACTCC